CGCAGACGCCGCTGTCCGCGGCGGGCGGGGACTCCGGAGTGTCGCAACTGATCCGGGGCTCGGAGGTGCGCGTCACGCTGGACCACATCATCGAGGACACGCTGGTCGTGTCGTTCCGCCTCGGGGAGAAGCTCTTCTCCGGGGTCCTCATGGATCTGTCCAAAAGGTTTGGGCCTTATGGGATCCCTGTGACAGTAATTCCCCCAAGGGACTGCAAAGAGAAGCCGGGAGCCACGCAGCTCCAAAGTGATTCATTCCCAGAGGGGACAGACGTCAAGGCCGAAGTGAGCGGGACTGCCGTCCCGTCTGCGGAGCTGAGCGTGCAGAGAAGCCTGTGGCTCTCCAAGCCACCCCCTCTCTTTCATGAAGAAGCGCCTTATCCTCCCCCTCTGTTTATCAGGGACACGTACAACCAAGTTATACCTCAGCCGCCCCCTCGGAAAATCAGACGAACCAAACGAAAACTGTACCGGAAAGAACGCTCTGTCCTGATGGATGGGATTGTACTGCGCCCCAGGCGAGTCCTGTGTGATAAATGTAAAAACAGTGCTGCCGACGACAAGGACATCAGCGAAGGTAACGGCCCCGCGAGTGACTCTTCTTCTAAACGGGAAGCTAAAAAGAGGAGGAACGAAAGTGGGACGACTGTGAACAAAAAGCTGAAAACTGACCACCAAGAGGATGGGAAAAACCAAAATGAAAGCCAGGGAAGAAATGTCGGGGTGGAGCTGTCCAATCCGGCTCCCAGCCGGGGCAGGGCTTCTGCTCAGGCGAAGCCCTCCAAAGCTCAGTGGAGTGCTCAAACCGTCCTCCAGAGCAAGAAGACGGATGACACCAAAACTCCGGAAGTGTCAAACAAGGCCAAAGGCAAGGCACAAAAGAAGCATGGGGAACTCTCTGGAGCCAAGAATGCACATCCCAAGGGCCATGTGAAGCATCACCGCCAGAATGCCAAGACCGCTTCCCTTCCGCCCCAGGTTCGAGCGACACCACAGAGGTACAGGAACGAAGACAATGACTCTCCTCTGAAGACAGGATCTGAGGACATGCACACTGGTAAGATGGCACCCGAGCCCCAGTCTCGTTGCACCTCTACCCGCCCAGCAGGTGAGGCCCCTTCAGAAAATCAGAGTCCCTCAGGCCCCGGAGAGGCTCAGGACACAAATGAAGCGCATGTGTCTGGTGAGCAGGATGAACCACAGACACTGGGCAAAAGGGGCAGCAAAAGCAGTATCTCTGTTTCCGTGACCCCCAATCTAAAGAAATCTGACTTTTCCAATGCTTTAGTGGGTAGCATGGATAGCTCAAATGTTTTGAGATCTTCCAGCTCTGAGTGTAGCTCTTCTGAAAGCCTGGATTTTCCTCCAGGCAATGTGCACGCACCTTCCACTTCTTCCTCTTCAAAGGAAGAGAAAAGGCTCAGTCATTCCTTGCAAACGAAAGTCTTTTCTAAAAACGTCTCTAAATGTGTCACACCAGATGGCAGGACCATATGTGTAGGGGACATTGTTTGGGCCAAGATATATGGCTTCCCTTGGTGGCCGGCCCGTATTCTTACTATAACCGTGAGCCAGAAGGATGACGGCCTTTTAGTCGGACAGGAGGCCCATATTTCATGGTTTGGATCTCCAACAACATCTTGCTTTGCTCTTTCGCAACTCTTCCCCTTTTTAGAAAACTTCCAGTCCCGCTTTAATAAGAAGAGAAAGGGCCTGTATCGCAAGGCTATCACAGAGGCAGCCAAGGCTGCCAGACAGCTGACCCCAGAAGTGCAGGCTCTGTTGACAGCGTGAACTGTGAACATGGACAGTAAAGCATCTAGACGTTAGCGGGCTGCTGGTGTCAGGGACCCATACCGCGATGACACAGACCACACGAGCTGAATGGTCTTGAAGGAACATGGAGATTTTTCAAAGCTGCCCTAAGAAGTCAATGTTACATTTACAGACTGTGCTGTATTCAAACCAAAGAAAAGTTGTTGGGGATTATTTTATATAGATAAAGAAAAACTACCTAACTATTGTAATAAATTATGGCAACGAGATGGCGGGGGTGATGTGAAATATTCATACATGAACTAACTTGAAGTTTATGTATGAAAAATCACTGACAGGTTAGTTAGTTAGTTTGTTTTGTTTGTTTTGAATGTGAAATTCTTATTGATCCAAATTGAACAGGCCTTAAAGAAAATCACAGGACGCTCCAGAAATGTTGATTTAGTTTTCCTATGTAAACTTTGTGCTTTCTCCAGGGTTTATGGTAATCAGTTCAGGTTTGAACCAAGGTATTTCTGAAGTAGCTCTCCTATGAAAAAGTAATAATCACATATACTGAAGCCAGTGTTCCCTGCAGGGTGTTGTAGAAACAACAAAAAATGGCATCTTGCTGAAAGGAGGGCAAAATGTCCCCACCTCACCCAGCAGACAAAATTTGGAGCTCTTGGGTTTTTCAAATCAAGTAGGGCTGTGTTATCTCGAATGTATTATTTGCTTATTGGAACATAGTAAGATGTACCTACAGGCCACAAATATTTGCTATTTTGTACCCATTTTCATAACTAATTTTTATCTTTCAAATTTCAGTTCAAAATGCTTGGGCTAATGTTGATCTTGGGGTTGAAAACGTACACTCCAAGAGCTTGTTCTTAATTTTACTGAGCTGAAAAGACTTTGCGTTTTGTGTTTATCCTTACGGCTTTTATCTAGTTCAGAAAATGTGACATCTGAATTTTGATGTGGATCTCCTTCTGTCTAAGTGCAAGAAATTCTCACAGGAGCCAGGTAGGACTTGGTCCCAGGGATGAGGTCTGTAAAGACAGCATCAAACTTTTTATGCATAGAGCATGAATTCTTATTACTAGAGAACTTTGGTAAATATGTACTATGAAAAACCTTCAGTTTTGTTTTATTTGAAGATTTTTTGCCATAGGGCACTTGTGCTTGCCAGTGAGAAGAGACAGAAACAGAGAGAGGGAAAGTGACAAATCACCCCTCAGGGGGATAACCACAGCATAATCCCTTCTCCTCCACTCTCCTGTCAGAATTTTGGGCATGCGCATATACACGCACACACACCCAGCGTGGTTTTCATGCTGCAGGGTCTGGGACTCAAACCACAGTTGGCCATGTGGGAGTCCAGCGCCTTAACCATCACACCAAATGCTGGCCCTCATTTTTGTTTTTTAATGAATGGAGAAAACCAGATGAATTTGTTAGGACTACATTTTTAAGAAATTTTATATTAGATGGTGTACTTTTAATAATAAAGCTGAATTTTTTAGTAGCAATACTGGTTTGTATTTTAAACTAGAAAGATAATCCATATTGATTACTTCTTTAAAAAAAAAAGAAAAGAAAAGAAAAAAGAAAAAAATACCAAAAAAATAAAACCCACAAAATTCATCTGAAGCAGTACAACAGATAACAGAGAACTTGGCTCAAATGTTCAGACTTTCCATAATCTCACCATCCAGATTTAGAATTACCTAATAACCTTGAGCTCAGAATTAACCAAAGGTTCTGGGTGAGTTTTAGAACACTTACCATGATATATTGGGTTGTCAGAAAAGTCATGATGCATTTTTTGTTTTTGTTTTTGTTTTTTGCATAGAAAAAAACTTTTCTGACAACCTAATAGTTTGTTTTATAACTCAAGAAGAAGAGGTAGGTAGTCTTGCATCTAGTGAACTTAACGCAGATCCTAATTATATTGAAAATACTGAAAAGTTTTGACTGCGTTCTCAAATCGTCTTCTTGGAAAAGGTCAGATCACAAAATCATTACCTATTATCAAATTGGGAAAAGAGAGGTCAGGGACTACAGTAAGCTGGAAGGGCTAAATTAGATGACAAATATGGTAGGTGGTGAGGGGAATGCTACTCAGGATTTCTCAGGCTTGGGCCAGGGTCAGCCTTGTTCTGTCAGGAATAGAGGACTGGCAGTCTTTTCCAGGCTCACTTCTAGAACTAGGTCACTCCCAAGGCATGCTGGAATTGCAGATGGAGTGTATAGTTAAGATTTTATTCTTGTTGTTTGTTTGCATGTCGGAGGGTGTGTGTGCTTGCCAGAGAGAACGTGAGAGAGAAAAGACACCCCTCAGTGGGGCATGGTCTTATTGCCATCCCTTCTCCATTTCTCCCTCCTGTCAGGATTTGGGGCACACATGCACACGTGACCAGCGTGTTTTTCAAGCGGCTGGGGTTGGGATTTGAACTGTGGTCCGTCATGTGGGATCTGACTCCCTTAACCACTAAGCCACAGGGCCGGCCCTCTCATGAAGCTTTTAAATTAAGCTTTAGAATTCTGTATCTATGTAAAGTGATGAAAAGGACCACGAAGTTATATATCATGGAAAGGCAAATGAATAGCTTTTCAGTGTCTACATAATATGGTGTTTTTTTTTTTTTTCTCACAACAAATGGTCAAAGGTGGCCCTCATTATACATCAGACTTTCATTCCGTAAAAAAAAACTGAAACTTGATAGTATTTCAAATCGAGGCCAACCGTGCTGCTATTTCACTTCGGCTGTGATAGTCGCTTAGTTTCAGCTGTGCTTCGTGGTACCTGTGGTCTGCCATTTCAAATCGTCCCAAGTCCATTTCACTTTGTAGACTGCAGGGACGAAAATGATTTCTCATCTTAAGAAGAGTCCGAGCTAAATGCTCAAGCATGCCATGTAACATTGATCTCTGATAAAGTCTTTGATTTAAAGCAACAACACATCATGCATACAGCGATCAGTCAGAAAGGTCCTTAAGATGAGTTCAAGTGACTTGGCTCCGGGATGACGATCCACAGGGACTAGGTATTTTTCTTTTTTTCTTTTTCCTACACAGCTTAGACCAATCTACCACAAGGCTTCCTTAGTAACCTAGGAGCTGCAGCATTTGCAAATGTTCTCCACTGGGCACTTCAAGTCAGGACGATGTGGGCTTCAACCTTTCTAGGATGGAGGAAAGAAAAGATTTGTAAAGACTTGATCTCTGCCTTGGGGAGAAATAAATCATAATCAATCCACTGTGTTCTGAGTCTGATACTTGAGAGGAACAAACTGCGTGGGCGTGCGTGGGCATGTGCGCATGTGCACACCCTCGGGGTGGGAGAGAGCGGGCACAGCTGTCTGTGCTCACAGAGGGGTGTGTGTGTGTGTGTGTGTGTGTGTGCGCGCGCGTGTGTGTGTGTGTGGGGGGGCATTTGTCCCAAGTAAGCCTCTCTAAAAGTAGACCCTGGGACAGGAGTTCTCACGCAAGTGACTTACTGCTGGAGGGCAGTGGTAAGTGGGGAGAGGAGGGGTGGGGAGAGCAGCCAGGCGGGGCTGCTGGTTTCAGAAGTCCAGCCTTAGCCTGATCCCATGGGGAGCTCTGGGGCAGATATGCATCTGAAGTCTGTTCTAAGCAAGGAGGGGGGGGAGGAAGGTTTTTTTGTTTTTGTTTTTTCAATTTTGCCTGTGCTGGCCTGAGAGAGACAACAGAGAGGGAAAGCGAGAAATCACCCCCAAGGGAGGGACAGTCACGCTGCAATCCCTTCCCCTCCATTCTCCTCTTGGGATTTTGAGCACGCACGCACATACACCTGGCGTGAGTTTCATACCAGTCCAGGACTCAACCGTGCAGCGGCCACGTGGGATCCAGCCACCTCCATCATCATGCCAGCAGCTGGTCCAGGAAAGGAGCTTTCATGCCCCCACACCGATCTGTCCTTCTCCAAGGAGCCTCCTGTCACCTGAGGGTGGACCTCTGTAGGAAGCTCACAGGTATGAGCCGTCAGGGCAGCACCTGAGCACTTAGGAAATGGGCAGGAACTGGTTAAAGAGATCCAGATTATCTGGGCCATGTTTCTGGGCACCCAGGGAGCATACAGTCTGAGTTGAATTTTTCTTTTTTTCTTTTTTTTTTTGGAGAGATTTTTGCTATAGGGCACATGTGCTCGCCAGACAGACGGGGCGAGACAGAGAGAAATCACCCCACCCCACCCCACCACCCCGCCAGAGTGGGATGGCCACACCACAATCCCTTCTCCTCCATTCTCCTCTTGGAATTTTGGGCACGCACGCACACATGCCCGGTGTAGCCACTGGGTCCAGGACTTGAACTGCAATCAACCATGTGGGAGTCCAGCACCTTAACCACTATATTGCCTGCTGCTCCCCCTCCCCCTGTTTTTTTTTTTTTTTTTCAGTTTTTGCCATACGGTATGTGCACTATCTGAAGAGAAATAGAGACAGAGACAGGGAAAGTGAGTAACCACGCCCCATCCCGGGGTGAATAATCACACTGCAATTCTTTCTCCTCCATTATCTTCCTGGAATCTTGGGCACGCACACACGTGCCCGGCATGAATTTCAGGCCCCCAGGTGCAGCACTCGAACCATGGCCGGCTGTGTGGGAGTCCAGCTCCGTACCCACTACATCACCTACTGGCCCCCACGTTGAATATTTAAGAAGCAGATGCTGCAGGCCCTGGTGTAGCAGTGGCGTGGCTGAACCCGCCAGGGAAAGGTCCAGGGTTTACATCCTGGGACCATGCAGGGCTCTCTCATGCACATTGGCCATCTACACTGGTTGAGACTAGGAGTGGATCACAGTGTGAGGACCCCGTTGAGAGTGCCTGTCTGGCCCTCTCTCTCTGAAGAAAGAAAAATTACAAATGGAAACGAAACAACAGATGGAGTCTTTGGGGCAGAGAAGCTAGGGAGAGAGCGTTGTCGGCCCATGTGAAAGCTTGGAGACGTGACATGCCAGTCCCAGGCAAAGGCTACAAAACTGCTGGAGAGGACATTGTCTGCAGAGGGAGAGGGACAGCTTCTAAGAGCCTTGAGTGCCACGTGGAGGAAAGTGCACGCCATCGTGAGAGGCGGAGCCAACTAGAAGAGGCCCTGAGGAGGGCACCTGGGATGGCGAGAGGCCTGGAAATGCACGTGCTTGGAAAAGGCCTTTCTGGTCTCCACTGGCAAAAACGGGACTCTGGTGGTGAGGACACTCTTGGGGTGAGGGGAGAGACCGAGCCCGCCTGACTCCTTTCTCCCTTATGCCTCCTCCTCTCTGCTTTCTTCCTCTCTCCCTGGTTCGTGTGTAGATTTCCCTTTCCACACCCTCTCCTATCTTGTCTGGCCTCTTCTCACTGTGTCGGAGTCCACCTACAATGAACTATGCTGCCCCGCGACATCTTTGATTCGGTCCTACAGTAAATGTGGTGCGACAAGGAAATCACGTATCTATGCAAACTTTTTTTAATTTAGGTCTTTGCCATAGTTTTTTGTTTGTTTGTTTTGGGTTTTTTTTTTTTTTTTTAGGTTTTTTTTTTGCATGTACTCACCAGAGAGACAGAGATGGAAAGTGAGAAATCACCCCCCTCCCCTGGAGGGATGGCTACACTGTGATCCCTTCTTCTCCATTCTCCTCTCTGCATTTTCGGCATGCATGCATATTCACCTGGCATGATTTTCAAGCCACCAGGTTCAGGACTTGAACCACAGTCAGCCATGTGGGAATCCAGAGTCTTAGCCACTACACTACCTGCTGGTCCCCATTTTTTCTTTCTTTATTTTTTTTTTCTTTTTTAGAGGTTTTTGCCTTAGGGTGCATGTATTCGTGCGGGGGAAAGAGAGAGAGACAGAGACAGTGAGAGGGAAA